GCGAATATGTAGAATCTAGCGGGCTCGTAGCCCCTCTCTCCGGCGACGTGGTGGCCGAGCAAGCTATGTGGGGGCACTCGCCTCTCGTAGCGAGCCGTCACCACACGCAAGCGACCTCTGTTGGGGAGGGTCCGGGACTTGTTGCAGCCTCTGTTGCACCCGGCGTTGATACCTCTTTGAGCAGTGCTGGAGCACGGTTCGACCCACGTCTGTGGGCGGACAAGTGGGACGTCCCGCAGCCACCTCTGTGGCGCGGGCGTTGCGGTGCGGTCCCTGTTGCGCGCCCCGCGACTGCATTTAGTTGTACATAGGACGCTGCGACACTGCATTTAGTTGTACATAGGACGACTGCATTTAGTTGTACATAGGTTTTGTGTTTCACTCTATATGCGTGGCGTGATCTCTCATGATGTCCTCCGGGCAGCAGAGCTCTTGATGGCAAGTCGGCCCGCCTCATCCTTGGATTAAGGTAAGGAGGTGAAGAATGCAGCGCCCTTGCCTCTTATCTTCCTCTGCTCGAGATATTTTTCCTACCAGTGTGTAACTATTCTCCAAGCCAGGAGGTAGCAGCATGGACGGCACGTAATGGAGCGAACACAAGACACGACAAACATGCAAATTCTTGAGCAGAGATTTGGGCGCAGGCACTGTTTTCTTCACTTGTGTGCATAGGATCAACTCTGGTCCTCCAGAGTGTCTGCGTTCGCAGCGTGGTGTCCTGATCTCATTCCGGCACTCCTCGTCTGTCCTATCTGACTGCCTCCCTCTTCCTCCTCACTAGTACACTTTAGGGTGGTGAGAAGATCGCATCTCCTCGTACTATCGTTGTGGTAGAGCAACTCGAACATCGTCTATCCCGCAACACGTTTCACAACTCATTCTGACCGATGACCGGTTCCCAGTCTCCTTCTTTTCATGTTCATTTTCATATCAATACTTTCCATCATGTTCATTTTGCATCTGAAGCTCCAAAAACAAATTATACACCTAACAAAAAATATCAAGTACTATCGCCCTTGCAGTACAACCAGTTGCATTTATACGAATCGGAGAAATTCATTCTCCGAAACGTGAAAAATGAAAACTGTCAAACGGATTCAGAGACCGCAGCACACTTCTGTCATGCATGAAATTTTGCAACTAGTGTAGTACGAGCTAATTCGATACTTTTACACTGGATATCCCGTAGTTGCCCCCAAACCCGCTCATTGTGCTGTGCAACCCGAAGTTCTTCGGTTTGAACTTAAACGGCTTCATGTGCTTGGTTTGGTTCTTGGCATGGATTGGTGGGAGGTTTGTTTTCGCCTGCGCCTGGTCATGGTGTGTGCTTTCGTGGTGTCGGTCTGTATCGTGGTTGTCTGACACCGTGGACTGGTTCCCGCCCGTGCGATAGAATGTGCTTGTCGGCGCTTGCTCGATGCTGTTCGTGTGCAGTGGCACCGTGCGCTCTGGGACCTCTTCGAAGTAGGGGGAAAGCAACCCGCGACTGCATTTAGTTGTACATAGGACGCTGCGACAAAGCAGCACGGATACACTTTTCTACAGAACCCTAGTCCGCCACTGAGAAGGGTGTGGCCTTGACCTTTTGTTAAGAACATTCGGACTAGAGCTGCGACCCCATGCGGCCGCAGAGCTGCGGGGATTTGGGAATTTGTGTTCGCCTCACGATGACCAAAATGCTACCCAAATCACATCATGGATCAGGTATCAACAGGGCGGAAGCTGTGGAAGTAAACGAAACGGAGGCCTCGTCGTGTGGTCGCAGCATTTTTCCAGAAAACGTTTTTTCACCGATAATTACATTATCCTGTGCAAAAGGTAAAGTATCTGGTACTCGTACTATAGTTTTAGGTTTGCTGTGAGTTCCACTTCTACGTACTGCATGACAATAAAGCTGCCCCACTGGTCACCGTTCTCCATTTTAGCATGGCAGGCAGCATTTTCTTCAACTTCCTCCCTGAGATTTTTTGTCATGCAATCATCTTTGTAAAAGTACTGAATAGCAGGACCACTCAGGGTAAAAATACCCACATCCAGGAGACCACTCACTGTCACCCGATTAGTACGAAGGAGGTACAAGAACTTTGCATCAATGCATAACCGATCACGACGAATAGCGACTTCCGCACGGAAAAAAAGGAGAAGACCACGTGAGCATCTACGTCTAAAAAAACTGCTTTTCTCATCAGAATTCAAGTTCAACATGATTTTACTTAACATTTAACTTTAACTTTAGTACAAATTTACAACCAAAGCGCCATACTTTTCTTTCACGATTTACAATAATTTCATTTTTCACCGTTTTTAGGAAGAATTTATTTGACTGTCATCACTTCACATAATATTTTGCATATATCACAACATCAGTTTCGTCGAGGAAGTCAACTGTTTTTACTTTCCAAGTTTAACGTTATTTTCCAATGTGATTCACAACTCAGCATTTAGAAGTTTAAGTTTTACAACATACTCAACATGGTCCAGCACATCGGAGGAGAATTTTTTGTTTCCATGATTTCAGATTCAGTTTTAGACTATCATATTCAAGTAGTATTTCCCCTAATGTACATTAAATATTTTTCCCCCCGGTCGTCCTCGTGGCCCTTCCGCTCTGCCTGTGGCTCCCTCTGGAGCAGGTTCGGAGTAGCTAGAAGTAGTAGAGCATCGATTTGATGTTCTCCACCTCTACTACAAGTTCTGCTGCGCGCTAAAAACATCGCAGGTAGATGACAAGAAGGTCTGGAAGGGTCCAAGAGGCAAGCCGCAAACTTCTCGTAATTGCTTTTAACAATCCTCTTCAAATGCTTGTTTCAGCGCGATAATTATCGGATCCCGATAAATACTTAAGAACTAGGAAGAAAAATAAAAAAAAGTCCAAGTAAGAATACAAATAGTATAGCTGTACCCCAGTTTTTACTATCAGTTTCTGTTTCACTCCTTGAACTTTATCCCTGTTTCACTACTAGTTTCCCAAGAACGGAGGTGGCTGTTGCAACATAAAGCAAGCTC